TAATGTTGTATAACCATCACCACTATCTTTAGGCAAAACTTTTTCATCATCCTAAACTGAAATTCTATCCATTAAACAATAACCTCCCTCTCTGTCCTTTCCTCATCCCCTGTAACCTCTATTTTAATTTGTCTCTATGAATTTGCCCATTCTAGGTACCTCATATATAACTGGAATCATATAATATTTGTCCTCCTGTGTCTGGCTTATTTCACTAAGTACAATTGTTTTCAAGGTCTATGTTGTAGCTTATATCAAAATTTCATTCCCTTTTATGACTGAATAACATTCCATTGTATGTATACCACATTTGGTTTATCTACTCATCGGTTGATGGACACTTGGGTTGTTTCCACCTTTTGGCTATTGCGAATAACGCTACTATGAACATTGGTGTACAAATATCTGTTTGAGTCCTTATGTCCATTTTTGGGGAGATATACACTTAGGAGTGGAATTTCTGGGTCCTATGTTAGTTCTATGTTTAAACCTTTGAGAAACTGCCAAACTGTTTTCCACTATGCTTTAAAGGTCTCCATTAGACAACAGTTGCATGAAATCCTCAATTGCATTTTGCAGGAAAATATTGTTTCTAGACATCACCTATTGTCCTGTACAACTACAATATCTCCTATATAAAATCCTAAGGGGAAAATATTTTTGAGAATTACATACTGGGGAAAGGTTTATGTTTCCTCCTTTCTCATTTTAAGAATTCTAGCATGGTCTCTTCTCCTAAGCAGCCTGAAGTGATCTGTGAAAATGGTTCACTATTCACTTGACCCAGAAAACTCCACAAAATCATGCAAGTCAAGAGGTTCAAATCTTCATGTTCACATTAAGAATGCTCATGAAACTGCCCAGGCCATCACAGGTATGCATATACGAAAAGCCACCACGTATCTGCAGGATGTCACTTTAAGAAACAATGGTGGAGTTGGTAGGTATGCCCAGGCCAAATGGTGGGGCTGGACACAGGGTCTGTGGCCCAAAAACAGTGCCGAATTTTTGCTGCACATGCTTAAAAATGCAGAGAGTAATGCTGAACTTAAGGGTTTAGATGTAGATTCTCTGGTCATTGAATATTTCCTGGTGAACAAAGCACCCAAAATGCTGCGCCGAACCCACAGAGCTCATGGTTGGACCAAACCACATCAAGATGGTCCTCACTGAAAAGGAACAAATTGTTCCAAAACCAGAAGAGGAGGGTGCACAGAAGAAAAAGATATCCCAGAAGAAACGGAAGAAACAAAAACTTACGGCACAGGAATAGATGCAACATAAAATAAATGCAAATAAGACTTAAAAAAAAAGAATGCTGGCATGGGTCATGAGTCCATCTGCCATGAAGCTTGCAACCATGTTTAAAGCTTGAATAGTCATTGTTGGTTCTCTGCCTACATTCCTTGGGGTCCCTTTCCCGCTTCTGGGCACACTGGCCTGATTTTGAATGGCCAGTGGGTATATTATTGTCAGAGGGTATCCTTGGGCTGTCTCCCCAAAATGAGACCAGAAGTACCTGGGAATTACATCCCTATGCTGCCTCCCCCAAGCCTTCCCAGACAACTTTAAACCAATTACTGACAGGTGTGGGTTAATAAATAACCCAGCTTTCTTGCCTGGGAAAATTCTGAGGTCTGTATTGTTTCCAAGTTTCCATTTGGGATTCAGTACCAGCTGCCCACTATCGTGCCTGTCTGGACAGCATACCTGGACTGACTGACTTCCCTTCCTTGTTTCACTTCCTCTTTCACCTACCTGTAGTCCTTGCACCTCCCAATAAACTGCTTGCAGGCAAATTCTTAGCTCAAGATCTGCTTCTAAGGGAACCCAAACTGAGACAAAGCTCCTCTCCAGCAATGTCATAGCTCCACTTGCTTTCCACATTTCTGTTCTTCTCCCTGCTTCTGAAATTTTAGTTTCACTTTATTATGATTTTACTTGTACACTTTCTTGTTGTCTACTACCTCAAAGTCTGCAGAATAGAGCATGGTGGGATCAATTTTTAGAAGAATAACACCATCATATAATATTGCAATATTACAATACAAAATGCAAGCTATAAGGGTTTATAGAATATAATTCTAATTTTTAAAAACACATTTGTATTAATATGTAGGTGTATAGGGAAAAAAGACTAGAAAGAAATGCACCAAAATGTAAGCAATGGTTAATTTGGGTGGTATTACTGCAGATGGCTTAATTTTTTCTTTTTTATACTTTATTCTATAAAAAAAAACATGAAGCTTTAGTTTCCTGATCTATAAAGTGGGGATAATCACACCTACCTCATGGAATTGTGTTGACTGAAGCATGGACATAATGCAGCAATAAGCTGCATCACACATTCACATCATAATCCACATCATCACAATATGGGCCTAATGCGGCTAATCAAGGGTAGAAGTGCTGTTATTACAACAGCAATTAATGAAACAATTTAACAGAAAATGTTAGACATGAGGAAGTAAAAGTAAGCCCACAGCTGTACAATGTTTTTTACTTTTTAACGTGCATTCACTCACATGAGCTCATTGTTCCTCACAAGAACTCTGTTCAGGGTGGGAGCAGGCAGTAGGCAGGACTAATATTCACCAAACCACTAGGATGCGCCAGACACCAAGGTGGGCACTGGGCAGACAACTTGGCTGAGAAGGATGGGGCTCACAGTGGTTAAGAAAACTTGCCCAAGATACAGAGGCAGGACCAAAAGCTCCAACTCCAACTTTTAATGCAGATTTCTACTCTATCATGCTACATTGTCCTATTTGCATCTCAAAAGCCTGTGTTCCTAGGTACCCACATGCACATGACAGTCCCAGTTCCTACTGTGCCCACATTCACCAGACCACATGCATATTCTGCTCCTTCCCTCTATGCCCATGGGAGCACCAAGAGGTGGTTTCTTTGTGGTTTTTTTTTTTTTTGAGTTAGTGTCTTGCTTTATTGCCAGGGCCTGATGATAGCTCACTGCAACCTCAAGCTCCTGAGCTCAAGGGATCCTCCTGCCTCAGCCTCCCAGGTAGCTGGGACTACAGACGTGTACCATCATGCCCAGCTAATTTTAACATTTTTTTTTTTTGTAGAGATGGGGTCTCACCATGTTGCTCAGGCTGATCCCAAACTCCTGGCCTCAAGTGATCTTCCTGTGTTGACCTTCCAAAATGCTGGAATTAATGTGTGAGCCACCACACCTGGCCAAGAAGTGGTTTTGGATGAAGTGGTAGGAAGGGTTCAGCCCTCCAATCTCCCATCAAAAGCATCCCAAATAATCGTTCAATCTAAGTAAAAGTCCTGTACTTGCTAAGCAAACACAGTAGATTCAAGGTAAATTCCAAAGTAACACCTCCTAATCAGTTTGTTCACCCCAAGTCTCCCTCACATAGAAACTTTAGAACTGTCGTCTGAGACACGGGAGGTGATGGCATGAAGGACTTGTGGAATGCTGCTAAGAGAGTCCAGCAGAGAACATGGGGATGTCATTCCTCCTCCACCGTCCCCAGGGCCCCAAGTTCTGGTCTGCTGGGAGAGATTTTCTTGCCAGATACCCAGTATTGTGGTGCCATCAAGGCCCACTCAGGGGCAGGGCCACCTGGGAAGGGTTGGGGGTTGTGAGCTGGGCAGTTTAGCACAAAGCACTTCAGGTGGAGCCTGTGTGCCCCTGAGCATGCTGGTCCCCTCTGCTTGGCCTCCTGCTTGCCAGCTGAAGCCCTGGGTTCCTGGACCAGCCTTGGGAAGTCTTTCTTGGCTAATCCAAACTGAGGCTGATCTTGTCTGCACTTTGTGCTCCTTCTCCCAGCACAATGTCTATTGTGACACAACCACATGTGGGGGCCCCCAGGGGGCTGCTCTTGTCACCCTGCGTCACTGGCAAGCTCTTCTACAGAGCACAGAGGTCACAACTGCAGAGCACCCAGTACACGCACCCTGTGCCATTGGCACTTCAAGTTTTTTCTACTGCTCCTGGTGCTCTGGCAGTTTGGATGCCACTTCCTCTCTCTATGCTGAGCCTTTCAAACCCCCTCCCCTGCTCCAACTCTCCTTTCTCTCCCCTCAGAATTTCTACAGCATCTTCCCCAACCCTCTTATCACTCATTATGCTTCAAGGGTGAATAGTCTTTAAGGGTGTAGTGCAAAGACCCTCAATCTTTTTCTGTGTCACACCCTTGCTCAAAAACTCTCAATGGCTCCCAATTGCCTCTAGGTAAGTTCTAGCTCCTTAGTCTGGCAGTAAAGGTCTGCCTCTATCCCATTAGCCAGCAGACCACCCTAACTTTCCTGCCACTACTGCAGCCAGCTGGTGGGGCACCTGAATGCAATTCTCTCCTACTCCAGAGTGCAGTGCACTTTCAATCCCCAAACCCAGCCATGCCTAACGCTAACTGGTTCAGCCCACAGGGCACTTACTTCTTCCCTGGTTCTTCATGGTAGGAAACACTTTCCATCCTTTGGACTCATTAGTACTTTTGCCTCCTCACTTCCAATCTGGGATTCTATCCGATTTTTTTCTAAGTTTGAAGTCAAAGGCAAAGTCTTTAACTTTGCGCTTCCCCTCTGACCAGTGATTTGTGCATAGCATTAACTCAGTAAATGTTTTTAGGTTCCTGTCCCTACTTGTAAGCTTTCTCCCCAAAGTTCCATGAACTCAAACCCTATCTCCTTAATGAGACCGAAAATCTCTACAGCAGAACGGTTCCAATTTAAGGCTCATTCAAATGCCCCTGGGAATTTGTTAACATGCAGATTCTGACTCAGGAGGTCTGGGCAGGGACTGAGATTGCATTTCTAACTAGCTCCCGGTGATGCTAACGCTTCCTGTCCACGGACCACGTTTAGAGTAGCAGGGAGGCAGTAACACCTGTTGATCAGGCGACAGCTCGCACCGGTGGAGCCGGGCTGGAAGAATGGAAGGCAGAGAGGGTCGGTTATGCCCATCGGGCATCCAGCAGGGACAGGGGAGGCTCCAGGAGCACGCCACTGAGTCTGGCTGGCACACTTACCTATGGTGGACACGACGGTGCCCACGAAGTAGAAGGCGCCGGTGAAGTCCCAACGCGGGCGGACGCTGTCCACTCGGATGCCGGCCCTGGTGGCCTCCTCGTAGTGGCGCAGGAAGCCGCGCAGCTCGTCGCGGCTCAGGTTGTGGCCGCGGCTGAAGTTGGCCAGGCGCTCCTCCCAGCGCTGCCTGGCCTGGCGCTCATGCGCCAGCTCCAGCGCCGAGAACACGGCGGCGCCACCCAGCAGGTAGAGCACGATGAGCACGGCGAGCAGCAGAAAGCGCGCGTTGTCCTCGTTCAGGTGGCCCAGGCTCCAGCTGCAACCCCGGCCGGCCATGGCCTGGTCCCTGAGGGCAGCCCCTCGCTCCACTGCGGAGGGCGCCGACTGACTCTCGCCCACGCCCCCGGGGAGGTCGCAGCTCGGCCGGGCGCTCAGCCGGCTCCCGGACGGCCCCCCGCCGGCTTGCCCATGGTCGCCGGGCGTTCCCGCAGGCCGCGCGGCTCTTCGGGCCGCCGCCTCGACCGCTGTGGCGGTGCCAGCTCGCCACGTCCGCCTTGACTCCCGGTTTCAAATCCGCTTTGTCGCCGCCGCTCCCTTCCCCCCACCCCGCGCCTGCTTTGGAGTCTCCTGGACGCTGAAGGTCCGAGTGACCAGGCGCGGAGTCCACCTCTGCTTGGTGCGTGGATGCGGGCACTCAGTTTCCACCCCGCGCCCTGCCCGGCTCAGATTGGGGAGGGGGCGTGGCGCATCTTCGGGACAAACTCGAATGGACTTGAATTTCCCCGGAAGCGAAGGTCGGGGAGCCCCGGAGACCAGCGGGTAAGCGGGTCCCGGGGGTCTCGGTCTTCACCATCACTTCTCAAGCCGCCGACGGCTAGGACGCGGGGTGTCAGCTGGCTTTGGAGGTGCTTCCTCAGATAGATCCACGGTGGTGCGTCCAGGTGCAGTGTCGCGTCGAGCCTGTGGCCTCCGGAGTCACCGACCCCGCTGCCAGGGCTTAGAGGCTGGGGCGGGTCCAGGGCGGGCGCACGGAGAGACAGGGGACTGTGCGGGGCGGCGTCTGCCGACTCCCACCTCCTGCCCGGCCCCCACGCTGCACGGCATCCGGCGGGCGGACCAGCTGGAGAGAGGAGACCAGAAAGGGAGGTAGGAATGGGGGAGTGAAGGAAGTTAGCATCTGCCCCGTGCAGCCTCCCTCGCCTTGCCCACGCCAGAGCGCCCTTGGCCTCTGGGTCCTGAGCGAAGGCGTCCTCTGCCCCCACGTGTCGGCTTGGCTCAGACCAAGCGCGCGAGGCGAGCCAGCCCAGCTTCCGGAGAGGTGGCCAAGGACCTGGGGCTGGAAGGGCCCCTTGGCCGGGAGACCGTGACCCTCGAGAGTTCCATCTCTTCCACCCCGGCTTGGCTGCCTCGGTGCGCTCTAAAGTTTTTGCGGGAACACTGGCTCCACGCAGAATGCTCTCCCCTACCTCTTAAGACCAGCGCAGAGCTCCCCAGCAAGTGCCGGGGCCCCTCCCAAGACCCCGCCTTGTAGGGGGCGCTGGCGGCCGCGCTCAGGTCTCACCTTCCAGGTAGCGCCCCCTCCGCGCCGTTCCGTAGGGACCGTCCCCTGTAGCCCGGCCCTGCTCTGTCAAGCGGCGTGAGGACCGAAGGTCCACGCCGAGCTCTGCCTTCTCTGGCGGGCGCGCTCCGACTCTGCAACAGGTGGAGCCGCGAGGCTGCCAGCGACGGCGACTCCACCCTGTCGCCCACCTCCTGGTCTCACTGGGCCGCCTCCTGCGCTGGTCTCCGCCGGCCGACGCGCGGCGCTCGGCGGGCCAACCTGGGGCCCGCAGACCTGGGGAGTGGGTGCTGAAGAGGCCGGTGGGATGCTTGGCCGGCCCGCGTGGGCCCCTCCGGGGCCAGGAGAGGGCGCTGTGTCCCCTGCAGACACATCTCGCCCCCACCCCACAGCCACACACTCCCCTCCGAAATCACCCGCCCCGGGCAGGTGCCAACGAACGCGGATGCGTAAAGGAATGGATACGTGGGCATCTTAGAACCAAGCAGAATTTCCCCGCCTTTCTAGATAGCGGTCCCAGGCTGAGCTCTGCACACCCACCTTATTCTCACCAGGAGCAGAGAAGGAACACCTGGAAGCCCTGTTTAGCAAAGCCATGATTTCGAATAAACAGCTCTGGCCAGTGCGTATCATCGGGAGCCCTGATGCTGCTATTTCTCTTAGCTCTGTTATTCACTCCCCAAAGACCCGTCTTTTATCTACCCTTTTGTGGGCAAGAGCTTTAGGCAGGTAGTAAAAATAGGGGCATGTGTATACACCCCAGGATGAGTACCACAATCCTTTTCCTTTTTTTTTCCATTATGAAAAATTTCAAACATACCATAAATTGGAAGAATTTCACAGTGAACACCCAAATACCCACCACCTAGACTCTACAATTAACACTTTACTCTGCTTGCTTTATTACATATCTGTCCTTTCCATTCATCAACCCATCTTGTTTGAATGCATTTCAAAGTAGGGTATAGCCCGCAGTACACTTTCACCCCCATACCCAGCACTCTGCCTGCATATCATTGTGTACAGTCCAGGATTTACTTACATATTTTTTTCTTTTGGGGTGAAATTTACAATGAAATGCACAAATCTTAAGCACCTCATTAGGTGAGTTCTGACAAATGCACACGCCTCTGCAAATCAAACACCTACCCACCCAGCCTATCAACCAAGCATCACCCACGGGTCAGCGTTCCCACAGGTCCCTTCCCAGTAAATCTCCACCCACATTCCTCCAGAGGAAACCACTGCTCTGAATTTTTCTACCATCGGTTACTTTTGCCTTTATAGAACTTAGTTTGTTCTAGATCTCCATAATAAATGGAACCATACAGTTATGCACTCTTTTGTGTAAAGCATTATGTTTTTGAGATTTATCCATGTTATATGTCTTAGTAATCTTATTCTCTTTATTGCTAGTTTTTCAGTGTTTGGATATACTGTTTATTCATTCTCCTCCTATTGATGGAAAGCAGGGCTGTTAGGATATTTTGGTTATCATAAAACTATTAGGGACATTCTTGTATAAATGTAGATGTTTTTATATCTCTTAGGTACATACTTAGGAGTGGAATTGCTGGGTCATAGGGTAGGTATGTATTATATTTAGTTTTATAAGAAACTACCTGACATTTTTCTGAAGTGGCTGTACTGACAACATATGATAGTTCTGAATGCTTCACATCCTTGTGAACATTTGGCAGTATCAGTCATTCTAATTTAAATATACTGCTGAATGTACAGTGATATCTCACTGTGGTTTTAATTTGTACTTCCTGATGTCTAATATACTGTTACTATAGTGGCCATTTGTGTGGCCTCCTTTGTAAATTTTCCGTTGAAATATTTTGTCCATTAAAAAAATTGGTTTTTCTATTATTATAGTGATCCTTTATATATGCAGGATACCAGTCTTTTGTCAGATACATTATCTTGTAAATGTTTTCTACCTCTGGCTTGCCTATTTGTCTTCTTACAGATATTTTCTGACAGATACAAGTTTTTAGTTTTGGTGAAGCTGAATGTGTGTTTGGTACCCTTTGTATATTAAGAAATCATGACCTCCCTCAAGATTGCATAGGTTTCCTGTCCCTGCTTTCCACCAATCCCCAGAAGTTTTGTAGTTTCAGCTTTTATATTTGGGTCTATGATCCATTTTGAGTTTGTTTCCATATGGTGTGAGGTAAGAGTCTAGCATCATTTTGTCCATGTGGATATCCAGTTATTCCAATGCCAATTACATGAGATAAATATGAATGAATTTTATTTTAGGAATCTGTATTTTGTTCACTTTTTTGTGTACTCTTATGCTAATACCACAGTATAGGTTACTTGTAGCTATACAATAGGGTTTTTTTTTTTTTAGCCCCACCCCTTATACAGTAGGTCTTGAAGTCAGGAAGTGTGAGTCCTCTAACTTTGTTCTTCCTTTTTGAGATTTCTTTGGGTATTATAAAACCTTTATATTTCCATTAAAAAAAATCATAAGGCTGGGCACAGTGGCTTACGCCTGTAATCCTAGCACTCTGGGAGGCTGATGTGGGTGGATCGTTTGAGCTCAGGAGTTTGAGACCAGCCTGAGCAAGACCCCATCTCTACTAAAAATAGAAAGAAATTAGCTGGACAACTAAAAATACGTATAGAAAAAATTAGCTGGGCATGGTGGCGCATGCCTGTAGTCTCAGCTACTTGGGAGGCTGAGGCAAGAGGATCGCTTGAGCCCAGGAGTTTGAGGTTGCTGTGAGCTAGGCTGACACCACAGTGCACTCACTCTAGCCTGGGCAACAGAGTGAGACTCTGTCTCAAAAACATTTTTTTTAAAGAAATCATAGAATCATCTTAATTTAATCACAAAAGCCTTGTGAGATCTCAAATTGTATTGAATCTATTTTGGGGAGAACAGATCCTTACAATCATGACTATCTTGACATTTCATGAATGAGGTATATCCCTACATTGATTTCAGTCTTCTTACCAAGTTTTCCTGTGGAGATCTGGCACAGCTGGCACATAATTCATAATGTATTTTGATGTCATTGTAAATGGAATTTCAAAGTTTCACTTTTCAATTGTTTGCTGTAGTATATAAAAATACATATGATTTTTGCAAATTTACTTAGTAGAAGTTGTTTTGTGGATTCCTTTAGGAGTTTCTATGTAAATAATGTTATCTGAATTTTGCTTCTTCCTTCCCAATCTCTTTTCTTTCCCTCTTACCTTACTGCAATGGCTAGGACCTCAGGATATTATTGAATGGAAGAGGTGGAAGCAGATATCCTTGTCTTGTTCACAATCTTAGGGGAAACCTTCAATTTACCATTATCATGATGTCAGCTGCTGGTTTCTCATAGATATCCTTTATCAGGCTGAAGAAGTTTCCTTTTATTTTTGTTTCTAGATTTCTAAGTTTTTCTTTTTTAAATAAAGCATGAATGAGTACTTGACAAAGTTTGGATTTTGTCAAATGCTTTCTCTGCATCTATTACAATGATCATAGTTTTTTCCTTTATTCTGTTAACATGTTACATTTCATTGATTGCCTTTCTAATGTTAAGCCAACCTTGCATTTATGGGATAAATTTCACTTGGGGATTTTACTCTTTACTCTTCTTTTAGGATTTACTTTGCTGCTTTTTCTAGCTGCTTCTGGTGGATGCTTAGATCACTGATTTTAGACCTTTCTTCTTTGCTAATGTTAGCATTTCAAAGCTATAAATTTCCCTGTTAGTGTGGTGCTAGCTGCATCCTAAAAATTTTGGTATGTTTATTTTCATATCATTTTGTTCAAAATATTTTCTAATTTTTTTCTTCTTTGGCCTATCAATTATTTAGAAGTATGTTGCTTAATTTCCAAATATCTGGAGTTAAGTTAGAAATAATGTCTTTTTTTAATTTCCTTTGCAGAGAACCATATTATGTTTTTAATTTTCCTAAATTTGCTGAAACTTATTTTATGGTCCAGCCAGATGGTCTATCTTAGTGAATGTACCATATGTACTTGAAAAGAATGTATATTCTGCAGTTGTTGGCTGTAGTGTTCTATAAATGTCAATTAGGTACAGGCAACTGATAAATGTTTTTGAGATCTTCTGTCTTTACTGACATTTGTTCTATTGATTGGTGAGAGTATTTAAAATCACCAGCTATTATTGTGTAATTGTCTAGTTCTTCTTTTAATTATGTCAATTTTTGTTTCATATACTTTTGAAGCTTTATTATACATATGCATTTATAATTATTATATCTTCTTGTGACCCTTTTGTTTATATAAAATGTCTCGCTTTATCTCTGGTAATACCCACTGCCTTACAGTCTACTCTATCTGATATTAATCCAACCACCACAGCCACCTTTTGCTTGACATTTGCTTGCTATCTTTTCTTATCCATCTACTTTTATCTGTGTCTTTAAGTATTTAAAGTAGATTTTTTTTTTTTTTTTTGAGACAGAGTCTCACTCTGTTGCCCTGGCTAGAGTGAGTGCCATGGCGTCAGCCTAGCTCACAGCAACCTCAAACTCCTGGGCTGAAGCAATCCTCCTGCCTCAGCCTCCCGAGTAGCTGGGACTACAGGCATGTGCCACCATGCCCGGCTAATTTTTTCTGTATGTATTACTTGGCCAATTAATTTCTTCCTATTTATAGTAGAGACGGGATCTTGCTCTTGCTCAGGCTGGTTTCGAACTCCTGACCTCGAGCAATCCGCCCGCCTTGGCCTCCCAGAGTGCTAGGATTACAGGCGTGAGCCACCTCGCCCAGCCTAAAGTAGATTTTTGTGAACAGCATACAGTTTGGTCTTTTTATGGAGGCTGGGCCAGTTCTGACAATCTCTATGTTTTAATGGGATTGACCAGACCAATGCTGTTAAATAGAACTCATGTGATAATGCAAATATTTTATATCTGTGCTGCTCAATATGCTAGTGAAATATAGAGGTGACAACTGAGCACTTGAAATGTAGATAGTACAACTCAGGTACTGACTTTTAAGTTTTATTTAATGTTAATTATCACATGTGGCAATCATCTTAGTGTAGGCTGAGACCATTTAACTATAACTATTATAACTATTTATATGACCAAATAACTATTTATATGACTGGATTTAACCTTGCCATTTTACTATTTGTTTGTCCCCACTGTTTTTAGTTCTGTTTCTCCTTTCCTATTTTCTTTTGGATTAACTGAATATATTTTAGAATTCCACTTTATCTATTGACTTTTAAAAAACACATTTATTTATGGCCAGGCACAGTGGCTCATGCCTGTAATCCCAGTGCTTTAGGAGGCCAGGGTGGGAGGATTGCTTGAGGCCAGGAATTTTAGGTAACAGTGAGCCATGATGGGGCCACTGCACCCCAGCTCGGGTGACAGAGAGACAGAGAGACCCTGTCTCTATAAAAAAGAAAGAAAAACACTGCATTCATTTATGGAAGCAGTGGGCAAAGGACACTGACTTGCAATTTCAGGAACTGTCACTTGAAGCTATCAATTATTGATGCCTATCTGCAACCCAGAGGAAATTAAGTGTATTATATATATATATTTATTATATATATTTATATAATATATATATTATATATATTTTTTTCTTGACATTGACACATTATCACTCAAAGTCCATAGCTTATATTAGGTTTCACTTTTGATGCTGTGCATTCCATGGGTTTGGACAAATATATAATGACACGTATTCACCATTACAGTATTACATAGAACAGTTTCATTGCCCTAACAATCCTGTGTTCCGCCTAATCATCCTGCCACCCCCGACAACCCCAGATCTTTTTACTGTCTCCTTTGCTCTGCCCCTTCCACAGTGTCACAAAGCCAGAATCATTTTTATGTGGACATAAATTTTCAGCTCCTTTGGGTAAATATTGAGGAATGCAATTGCTGGATCATATGGTAACTATATTTACTTTTGTAAGAAACTGCCAAACTGTCCTCCAAAGTGGCTGTATCATTTTGCATTTCCACCAGCAATGATGATTCCTGTTGCTCCATATCCTTGCTAGCATTTGGTGGTGCCAGTGTTCTTGAGTTTGGCCACTCTGATAGATGTGTATTAGTATCTCATTGTTTTAATTTATATTTCCCCGATGACATATGATGTGGAGCACCTTTTCATATGCTTTCTTGCCATCTGTATATCTTCTCTGGTGAGGTGTCTGTTAAGGTCGTTAGCTCATTTTTTAATCACACCATTTTCTTATTGAGTTTTAAGAATTTTTTATTGTGGATAACAGGCCTTTATTAGATAGGTGTTTTGCAAGTATTTTCTCCCAGTCTGTGGCTTGCCTTTTCATTTGCTTGGCAGTGTCTTTCTCGGAGCAGAAATTTTTAATATCTATTGGCTTTTTAGTTCTGTCTCTTTATTTTTTAAGTGGTTGCTCTAGGGATAAGGTTTTCACAGCCCTCTAAGAGCTAATATTGTATCACTTTGGGTAAATACAGAATGCTTGCAACTGTATAAGTTCATTTCCTACCCACCTTCTCCACATCTATTATGCTATGG